CAAGAGTGAGATACAGTTCTTTATTTTATTTTATTTTTTTAAAGATTTTATTTATTTATTTGACAGAGAGAGACAGCGAGAGAGGGAACAGGGAGCCCGATGTGGGGCTCGATCCCAGACCCTGGGGTCATGACCTGAGCGGAAGGCAGACGCTTAACGACTGAGCCACCCAGGCGCCCCGAGATACAGTTCTTTAGGAGAACAAACAAAATATTGGGAGGATTCTGAGCTGGATGCTGTCATTTAAGAAACCTGAGCAAACTGCTAGTTTGGGTCTGAGCTAAGTGTTTCCGTCACTTGTGCCAGGGTTCCAGAAGAGCCCTTCTGCGTGTCTGATACTTCTCAGTTTTGATACAAGAGCTCCTCCTTCTGGTACAGTGTATTTTGGACCATTTTGCTCTATTAGGAAGAAGCAAACAAAACCAAATACGTCAGGCCAGAAAAGTCACTCTGGCTCCTATTAGGTTAAGGTAAATGGAATTCATTTCGTTTCATTTTTTTTTTTAATTAAAGATTTTATTTATTTATTTGACAGAGAACACAAGCAGGGGGAGTGGCAGGCAGAGGGAGAGGGAGAAGCGGACTCCCCGCTGAGCAGGGAGCCCGACGTGGGACTCGATCCCAGGACCCAGGGATCATGACCTGAGCTGAAGGCAGAGGCTTAACTGACTGAGCCACCCAGGCACCCTTCATTTAATAATTCACGGAGTTGAAATGAGTGATGTGCACCAAAAAGTTCCCAGGTGCTTTTCTCTCGGATTGAGGAGCGAGAATAGACCGTGGTCTAGAGGAGTCTAATTTTTATGAAAGGGACATGAAATGCTTCCAAATCACCTACCCGTTCACATGGGCGAACTTCACTGACTGCAGTTCCACTAAGGTGCCATGAAAATCGGAATCTATATAAAAATCAAAGAGGCTGGCCGCTCACTCCCCCTTCTTCAGCTTCCTTTTTATCCCCATGACAACCTGGCCTCTCTCCTTTCTCACAACACACCTCAGCTTCTAGATCTGTTTCAGCCTCTCTCTTCTGTGTTACTACTTTCTCTTAATAAATATATTCAGTTTTCTGAATTCCTTGTGTTGTGACTATAAACCAAGATTGAGGATTGGGGAAACGATTGAGACGCTGAGCTGAATGAGAATGAATAATGCAGATGTGACCATTATTACTTCTGTGTCGTTAATTTTCTAATTAGCTCCGTTTTTTATTTGAGTAGATTTCAGCCACTGCTTTCTCTTCTAGGCGTCGGGGCGGGAAATACGCTGTTGGATCAGCTTGCATTGGAGGTGGCCAAGGCATTGCCGTTATCATCGAGAGCATGGCCTGAGGGGCAGGGGGCCCAGCGAGGTCCCCTCGTACCGTGCTGGGTCAGGCCACAGCAAAGCAGGTGGCCTTCGGAGCAGCTGCAAAACCAGACGTGCCCTCTACTGCAAGTGTCTGAGTGTGATTAAGGGATAATGAGGCAAAGATGTATTTCTGCACAAAAATCCAACTACAGAGGCCTTAAAAGAAATTGTATTCTCTTGCCATGTAATTACCACGTATGCCTTAGATTAATATGATTGCAAGAAAAATGGAATAAATACTGCTTTAACTTCAGCTGATCCTTTCCTGTCATTTCCTGGATTTTTAAAAATCTTTCAATTGAGGAAAAATACACATACCATAAAATTTACCATCTTAACCATTTTTAAGTGGCTTAAATACATTTCCCACTGTTGTGCAACCGCCGGTCGCCTCCATCTCCGGGACTCTGTCTTGCAGAGCTGAGACATTGCCCCCGTTCAACACAGACTCTCTTGCCCCCCTCCCTGCTGCCCCCCACCCCCACGCCGGCAAGCACCATTCTCCTTCCTGCCACTAAGAATCTGACCACTCCAGGCCCCTCACAGAAAGCGAATCATACAGGAGCTATCCTGTGCCTGGATTATCTCACCCAGCATCGAGCCCTCGGGGTTCACCCATGTCCTATCACATGTCAGCACTGCCTTCTTTTCTAAGACAGAAGAATATCCCATTGTACGTATAGACCGCGTTTGTTTATCCTTCCATCCATCCGTGGACACTTGGGTTGCTTTTGTGAAGAATTCTACTATAAACAAGGGGGGACGATTATCTATTCACGGCCCTGCTTTCAGTTCTTTTGGGCATGTACCCGAAAGTGGAATTGCTGGATCCTACGGTAACCCTGATTGTAATATTTCTAGGACTTGCCAAACAGTTTTCCATAGCAGCTGTGCCATTTTACATTCTCATCAACCTTGTACAAGGGGTTCCAATTTTTCCACATCCTGCACTGATACTTGCTATTTTCTGTTTGTTTTTTAGACTAGCCATCCTCATGGGTGTGAGGGGTACCGCACTGTGGTTTTGAGTTGCATTTCCTTAATGATCAGCAATGTCGAGCATCTTTGCCCGTGCGTATTGGCCATTCCTACATCTTTTTTTGAAGAAATGTCTTATTTTAAGTCCCTCTCCCATTTTTTAAGTTGAATTGTTTATTTCTTGGTGTAGTTGAATTGTCTTGTATTATTCTTTTAAATTTGAAAACCAGTTTAACTTTGTTAAGTGATGTTCATAATCCATTCTGAGATAAATGTCCAAGGAGCAAATTATTGAACTTAGTCTTGATACTAATAAATGATATATTGATTATTGGGAAGAGAAGGGGATGCTATTACTAGAACCCTGGGGCAACAAGTGTAAACTGTGACATAGAGGCGCCCTACTTTTAATTAACCAAAGTACATGTCAATGACCACCTCAAGTTCAAGAAAACTGAGCAAATACTGTTTCAGTATGGATTGTTGGATTTGGTCAGGGTAGACACCTCACTCTCCTGACAGTTGAGCAAATACTTAAAGGAGGTGATCATTGGCCATGCAGAATCTGGGAGGAGAGTAGGTCCTAAAGCAGGAGTGCACTTGGTGTGCAAAGAGCCAGTGTGACTGGAGCAGAGGGAGCAAGATGGAGAAGGGTTGGAGATGAGCCAGAGAAGTACCTGGGTGCATATCATGTGGGGCCTGAGAAGCCATTGTAGGGACTTTGGCTTTTATTCTGAGTAAAATGGACCCACTGCAGGCTTTTGAGTCAAAGAGAGACATCACCTGACTTATAAGAAGGATGCCTCAGTTTGCCCTGTTGAAATGAACTGTGGAGGGACAACGTGGGAAGCAGGGAGGCCGGTCAGGATGCTACCGTGGTAATCCAGGTCAAGAAACGGCACTGTCTCAGACCTAGAGGCAGCAACAGGGCAGTGAGAACTTGCCAGACACTGTTTATATTCTGAAGATGGAAATTTGAGATTTCCTCCTGGCTTGGCTGTTGGGTGGTAGAGAAAGGAGTTAAGGATGATTCCTGGGCTTCTTAGCCACAGGGATGGGAAAGCTGCAGGTGGAGCAGGCCAGGGGAGGTTCAGTAGTTTGGTTCAGGCATCCAAGTGGAGACGCTGGGCGGGCACCTGGGGGAAGGAGTCTGGCGTGTGGGACAGAGCCATATCTCTAAGTCATTGGCATTTAAGTGGGACTTGATCAAGAATTAGTGGCCTCTACCCTAGATGGATCCAAACAAGAGAAGAACAATTTTTCCTTCTATTAACACTCCTTGGTTTTCATTTTCATGACTTAAAGAAAAATTTAAATAAGAATGAGAATAATATATAAAACCAAGTATATCTGCATTGCCTTTCGGAAGACTGATCCAATTCTTGTATAGTTTTTCCTCACTCTACATAATAAGTGCTATCTCTTCTACCTTCATGGAAAAAAATTGTAGATTTTTTACTAAATCAATTATCACTAAAATGTAGGATGGGAGCATACATTTTTAAAGGTACTCTAAAAGGAATGCCTTTGTAAATGAGAAATAATTGAAATTATTTTCATGAAGTGAACAATGACTCCCCTTTCCCTTTCTCTTCATCTCTTTTTTTATTCCCTTTTTTTTTTTTTTTTTCATTTTTTTCCTTTGAGGGAGAGAGAGAATGACGGGGTGGGGGGGCGGTGCGGGGAGCAGAGGGAGAAGCAGACTTCCCTCTGAGCAGGGATCCCAACATGGGGCTCAATCCGAGGACCCGGGGATCATGACCTGAGCTGAAGGCAGACGCTTAACTCACTGAGCCAGCCAGGCGTGCCCCTCCCCCCCATTTTTTATTCTTAAAGTGAATCCGGGGTTTTATTAATCGGGTTGACTTGCAATGAGGAGTCTGTGTGCGCCAGCCGCGAGACCGGGGACACTTGTCCCCTAGGTGGCACCACAGGTCTGTGCTGTCCCAGCCCCTTTCTCACTCAGCATCTCACAGATGCTTCTCTCAGCAAAGTCGGCCCCTCTTGGTCCTCCTCACCTCCTGGGAAGAGAGGGAGAGAAGGAGCCAGCAGTAAAGAACCTCGGACTACAGGTGGGGGACAAAACTCTCTTTCACCTGCTGGCCAATGCCAGTCCCAGTGCAGGTATTTGGAAGTCCCTCTGGCCAAGGACACTGCTCTTTATTTCTCCGCAGTGAAAACCGGCAGAAGCAAAGCCCCCGAGCCAGGGAGCCCAGCGTTAGACCCGCTCTGAGCTGCACCCGTCAAGGCCCCTTGAGGCTCCGGGCCCTGCGCCAGCCCCCGCCCCTGCCGGCTCAGGGCGCAGGGAGAAGGGGCCAGGGACAGAGTCTGGGGCAGCAGGGATGAGTCAGCAACCATGGAACTGCCCACCCTTCACCTTCGGGGACACTTGGAGCCCGTGGGGCTCCTCTTCTCCACTCCAGACCCTATTCATTTCAGAGGCCCCAGATGCCCACAGAGCAAGGGCTGCAGGGAGCTGCTCGCATTCTGCCACCCTTTCCTGACCTCGGCTGATGGGGCCAGAACCAGTGCGGCCTGAAGGCTGTGGGGAGCAGCTGGGACAGAGAGAGAGCAAAGACACATGGGAGATCCGTGTCCTGGGCCCTAGCCTTGCTTCTTTGGGGACAGGAACGCTGCCTTGGACTCCCTGTATGCCCCAGTGCCTCTCATGTGAGAGCCTCAGTAAAGGAACAAGCATCTGACGGAGGCAAAACTCTTCGGGAGCATGGCCAGTGCTGGAGACAAGGCCCTGTCTGCCCAGGCACCACAACATCCGCCCTCCCCACCATTTGCCGTGTTCCAGTAAGTTAGAGCAAAGGCAACTAATGAGAAGGGTGCCCGCAGACAACATTCGAGGGGCCCGAAGCGTTGTAGAAACAAGGAACTCTGACGGAAGTAAAAGCCAGACTTGTGCTTTGAACATGCAGTTTCTCAGGAGCCTTTTTAGATATCAGACAAGATGAGATCAGGAACTACAGAATGAGGGAACATGCTGATACCGCGAGCAAGGAGCAAGCTATGCTGGTTATTCACACACATGGGCGCGCGCACACACACACGAAGTCCCACTGCATTTCTAGGTTGCAAGAAGAAGCGAAGTCACCAGGAGCTGAGGCCCACAGTACAGATGAACTCACAGCCCAGCTAGTCTTTAGATCTGTGCCTGCTCTGACCGTGGGCCTGGGGCTGGGAAACAATGGGATGTGGGAGCCAGGACCCCAGTCCGACCATCCCCCAGGGCTCTAGGTAGGCCTGCATCTCTAGGGAGAACCAGCAGCATCCTGCGACGAGCAGCACCCCAGCCTGGTCATGCACCGACCGTCTGCCTGGGTCATTCCCCAGCCTGCGTCTGGTCCCTGGACACAGCTCGAGCCTGACAAGGTGCACATCTGCCCAGCCCTGAGCCAGGGCGATCTGCCAGGGAGGAGAATTCTGTTCTACAGGCTGCTGTGTGTCCATCACGGATGTGAGCTCCCGTACCTGAGCCTGGACCCACCACTCTGTTCTCACTGGACATGGTCAGTGGAGAGAACAAGACCTCCAGCTGGAGGGATGATGTCAAGTGAGGTCAAGCCAAGTTATGAAGGACATGGTCATCTTTAGCCCCTTTGAGCTCTCTAAATGACAGTTTTAGAACACATAGGAGGAAGAATTCTCTACAGGGGTACGAAGCGACTCCAAGTTTTCTCTAGGACATAGTAGAGGGTGAAAAGAGAAATACCCGTAAGCCAGAAATGTTAACTATAAAGAGACAAGAACCACTATAAGCTATTGTACACTGCCTTATAACTAGGTTTTAAGGGGCGCCTGGGTGGCTCAGTCGTTGGGCATCTGCCTTTGGCTCGGGTCATGATCCCAGGATCGAGCCCCACATCAGGCTCCCTCCTCAGCGGGAAGCCTGCTCCTCTCTCTCCCACTCCCCCTGCTTGTGTTCCTGCTTTCGCTGTCTCTCTCTGTCAAATAAATAAATAAAATCTTTAAAAAAAAAAAATAACTAGGTTTTAAAATACATATGCAGGGGCGCCTCGGTGGTGCCGTGGATTACGCATCTGACTCCTGGTTTCAGCTCAGATCCTGATCTCAGGGTCATGGGATAGAATCCTGGGCAGGCTCTGAGCTCAGCGGGGAGTCTGCTTGAAGACTCTCTCCCTCTGCCCCTCCCCCTCCGCGTGCTCACTGTCTCTCAAATACATCTTAAAAAAAAATAAAACATGCAGAGGATGTGTAATGGATATGTCATTCCATTAAAATGCTAGTGGGATGAGGCACCTAGGT